GTTAAATGATGAAAAATTAGGTGTCTATTTACTTGTGACCACTCAGTGTACATAGTAATTTAGGAATAGTCTTCCAAGTCTCTTTAGTGAGAAACTTATATCACATAATGCCACAAACTGCTGGTGAAAAATCCAGAATCATGTTCTGTGTTATGCCACAGATTTAACTAAGTCATTTTATTTTATACAAAATTAACTCAGATAAAGTTTATGCTACTATTTAGATAGAACTTCTAAATGAAAATTTTATTATATGAAAGATACTAAATTAGCTGTGAATCTTTATTTATATACTTTTATCAAGTTTAAGTTACAAACTATCAATACCTAGTTAAAACATTACATTTAGCTAAATTAGTCCTTATATACACAAGAATAAAAGTCATATAGAAAGGCTTGTTTTTATTATTAGTTTTTGGCATTTTCAAAATAAATTCCACACATTAACTTGCACCAATTCCTGTGATGGTCTACAAGTGAAAACAGAAAAACCTTCTTTATGTTATTAAGCATGCTGTTCTACATTACATTTTATCATAAAAATCTTAAGTAAGGTTAAATTACTGTGAAAAGTGCAAAAAAAAAAAAAAGAAAAAGACAGACTATGAAGAGAGGGTTAAAATGCATGTTATAAAATCTGTATAGCTAGCTACTGGTATTTCTTTGAAATCATACTTGCCTTTATATAGTTTTGACATGTTGAAAGTGGCAGTCCAACCAAGCTGACTCCATTAATGGCAATGATCTGATCTCCTATATTTAACTGTCCACATCTGGCTGCAGGTCCACACTGAGCCATGTTAGCTATTACCACAGTTGGCAACATTGATCCCCAACCTGATTCAACAACAACCATCCCCAATATTTCCCCCTTTTGTTTTGGAACAATAACCTGAAATTTTGAAAAATTAATCAAGCAAAATTTCAAGAGCAAATAAAAAATATATCCACATAAAAACCTAGACTACCATTAACTTTGTCACTTTGTGTACATTCTTAAAAGAAAACATCTAATATTTTCTATAAGTCAGCAAATTGACTAAAACAAAGCAGCTTTAAACAAAATAATACATTTGGATATAGATGCACAATTAATCATATGATGGACTGGACTTTTACAATATATACGCTAGTGTTATGAAGATAGAATTTTTAATTAATCAATGATGGAAATAAACAGTAAAGATACAACTGTTACACAGACATTTTAATAATATAATCTACATGTATCAATATCACAGTTAAAAAAAAAGGTGGATTGTCAAAGTTTTTGGTAGATCTTCCTTCACCAAAGATGAATTAAGAAAATACTTGTAATTATTTAGTTGTTCAAAAATAATCATCACCAAAATTTTATAAACATTACAATAATTTCTTATGACCTTTTTAAATTATAGCAGTCATTATACACAAACTTGTATGGTGAACAATATGACCTACTTTTAAAGAAGCACATTTTACAATAATATGGCTCAATGAAAGTGAACAGTGTGAACACACAAACAATTTGGAACTTTCAAGGTTGTTTAATGTCATTCATAAGTTTAAAAAAAAACTTTAAATCAAGTAAATAGTGACAATTTATGCAAGTAAAGCAATATTTGATTTTTCTTACAAAAATAATATGAACAATACTTTATGGATACATTGTTAATATGAAAAAAAAAAGGTGAATACACATTACAGAACCATGCAAAGCCTCATATAGATAGGTGAGTGTATAATAATGGCAACTACACTATACCAGCTTTGTCCCCTGCTGACAAGGCCTTTTTCAAAATACCATGGCTTTTCAGCCTGGTTGAGATACAACACATAAAGCACTGGTTTAGACAGCATTCATTTTACCAAAAATTGCTTGGCAACAACTGCTACAAAGTAAACTCTTTTAAGTTTAATAAAAGAAATTTTTTTATTTATTTTGAAACACATTAGAATTAGGGTACATATATTAACTTAATAATTATCACCACAAGTCAGTGATCACATAATCTGTACAATCAACATATTAACAATGATCAACGTGACCACCTTTCATGTCCAATATTGCTTTCATTCAGAGAATGTGATACACAGTTGTCTATCTTCCAGCAGCTGATCTTTACCTGCTGTCATATCTGTAATGACAGTGGGTGGCTCATGATAAACCAGAAACTGAGATGTACCTCATAGCCAAAAACCAATCACTCAATCCCTGAAAGACTTTCACAATATCTTGATGATAATAAATGTAATGTGGAGTGGGGCTTCATGAAGACCATTTCATTCAAAACTCCTTTTCTCTGAAATGTAGGAATGGAAACATATTCAAACTTAGATCAACAACACATCCTCTTTGTTCAAATTTATTTCTAAGCCTCACATATGCCTCATTGCTATGTGGTTCACTCCAGTCACCATTTTCAAGTTGATATTACCAGCATTATCATCATGGCTGCAGTAATCCTTTACAGAAACAAATTTTAAATTCAGAGATGAATTGTCAAGAGTAATTTCTAATGATAAAATAAATTCTGACACATCTGACATTGTTTTGATACAGTCACTAATATTCAAATTTGCAATGTAGCACCTCCTGGTGAGAATTATTTTTGACAATAAAATTGGTTTCCTATCATTATAGCACTCTAATGATCAGAGGATAGTGATAGCACGTTTATCTATCAAGTTCATCTCACATACACTCAATTGAATTTTGGGAGATGTTTGAAGTCTCTACCATGTTCCTCAAACCGAGTAAGGGCACGATGGACGGAACCATTGTCATCTTGGAAGTAGATATTCACTATCAGGATACACAAGAAGCATCACTGAATGCACTTTATCAGAAATGATGAGGTATGCTGTGGCATTCACTCTGTTTTCTAAATGGGCCAAAGTGTATGTCAGGAAACTATGCCCTAAACAATGACTCCACCACTAAAGGCCTGGAAAGTTGGGCCACTCAAGAAAGGAGCGTCTTATGCAAATTGTGCAGAAAAAAAAGGGGGGGGGTCCCATAAATTTATTGGACGACACCACCTTTCACTATTTCCCATTGGTCCAATGTCTGTGCACCTTGATCCACTCAAAACATTTTTTCTTGTTGGTAACTGATTCTAGTGGTTTATGCTGCCATAGTCCACTTACTGCAACACTTTTCAAAAGGTGTAGTTGGAGACAAGTGTGGATTGCTCTGCCCTTAATGTCTGTCAGGACTTTATAATCCTGTCTAACCACCTTTCTTCTTTATTTGACATTCCATGTTTACACCCACAATTCCCTCTAGCAGCAGATATTTCATTCAACACTTCCACTGCTGATAAATTATAATGACCGATGTCTTGTAGCAGCCTACCAATGAAACCATCTTGGCCACTGTGGCACCTGTTAGACATACACCCACTATCATGTCTCTTTTGAATGCTGCAATATTTTTGCCCTTCCCCCTGTCTATTAGACTAACTGAAAATTTGCTTGACCCACTCATTTATAGAGATCCTCTTACACATCATGTGATCAACCCAATTTGCAACTGCAACTTTGTCAAGGGCCAAGTCTGAAAGGGTAATATAGTTACTCATTAAGTAGTCAGCCAATGTACAACCAATAAGGAAGATGTACCAAAAATAGCTGTGGACTGTGGTTCAATCACTTATTTATGGAAGCCATGCTACCACAGACATTTTGAACTGAAAATGGCCTCAGCCTATAGACCGAAAAGTCCAAAAAAAAAACCATCAAGTAGCTTTCCGTCCATAAAAGATTCTTTATATACCAAAAACAATACAATAAAAGAAGATTTACAATACTGTTCCTTCACAAAAAAAAAATGTTAGAAGCAAGTCTGATAGTTTCCAGTAAAAGTATATTGATGTAAAACATCTAAACAAGCAAAAAAAAGATTCTATTGAGGTACAATGATTCAACATCTAAACTAGCAAAAAAAGATTATATTGATGTACAATGATTCAACATCTAATCTAACAAAAAAGATTTACTGATGTACAATGATTCGACATCTAAACAAGCAAAAAAAGATTCTATTGAGGTACAATGATTCAACATTTAAACTAATAAAAAAGATTCCATTGAGGTACAATGATTCAACATCTAAACTTGTAAAAAAAAAGATTCTATTGAGGTACAATGATTCAACATCTAAACTTGCAAAAAAAAAAAGATTCTATTGACGTACAATGATTCAACATCTAAACTAGCAAAAAAAGATTATATTGATGTACAACGATTCAACATCTAAACTAACAAAAAAAAAAAGAAGATTCTCAGAGTACAATGGATTGCATAAAAACAAAGTTTTTTTTATTATGAATTCACCATTGATGAAGGATTTAACAAATACATTAAGAAAATGATGTAGTTTGTGCTAAAAAATAGCTATAGTATACATTTTGAAAAAACAGACATCCCTATTCATGAAGTTTCAAAATGCTGTGTGTTTGGTACTATAAACCCTTCTTCATGCACTTCAGTAAATACCTTTATAAAGTGTTTCCTATACCTTGTATCAAAATTTTTCTTCAAATTTTCAATATATCATTAACACTACCAGATTGTTTGTCAGGCATTATAGTGCTGATATTTGAAGCTTTTATACATCTTTTATAACCTCTACACGATGACTTATATATACAACTAAGTGTGCTTTACTGCAAAATCTTTCAAGGCTGTACTACAGTACAATACATATTTTGCATCTAACTCACTACATACGTAATTAGTCAGCAACTGTTGAACCCGAATTACTCCTAGTACCATAGTAATTCCAATACAGATAGTGGTCTATTATTAGGTCGTCAAGAAATTAATGTCATGTTTTGGAACACTTTCATTAACCACCCCCAAAAAAACATACATCACGTATAATAGTTAAATGAACTGCCTAAATGTCACGTTAGTGTAGCCTATATAATGTGTAAAGTTTAGTATAATCTAATCCCTTATAGTGATGGCACACGATGAGACACACACAT